ACATTGTTGATGCTGCGCCCAGGAACAGAGAGTGGGCTCAGCCCACTTGGACATTCTAACCCAGACCCTAGCCGTCCTGACAGAGATTCCAACAGGACCTCTTTCAGCCCCACATCTTGCAACTGTTTCTTCAAAGAGGGCCAGAGAGGCCCAGTTGACACTGCTGCTCCCCACTGCTGCTCAGCTGAAGTCATCCTTCTCTATAGGAAGCCACTGGAGACATCTGCCCTTTCCTGAAAGTCCTGGGGTCCACCACCCCTGCCCCCGACTGAATCTAGACATTCGCCATCCCTGGCTGGGTCTGGACCCCTGGACTGTTCCATGATGCTGTTTAAATGAAGCAAAGAAACAAGCTGCTTTTAGGGCCAAGGAAGAGATGGGGCTCACCAGGAGGGCCTGGCAGCTCCTAATGGAATCAGCATGGGCCGTGACACAGACTCATTCATTTTAATTCCTGATCTGCTACCAACTGCGAGACCTTAGGCAAGTCGCTTAACCTCTCTGAGGCCGCCATTTCTCCACCTGTAAAATGCAGATAATACCATACAGGGACATGGTGGGCATACTGAGTGCGTGCACAAAGGAATGTATTGTGAAAATACCCAGTACAATTATCAGTCTGGCAATATGTTGATGCTAGCCTTGAACAGTTTGTATTACTTTCTAAAAATAAAAAAGGCTGCTAAGAAAATTTTATGAAAATTCATCTTTCTACTTGTGTAATTTTCATAAAAACTCTGAAAGTGTTAGCATGTAAACAATGGCAGATACTCATTTTCTTTATAAATATCTATAATTGAAATCAGCTTTACAAAACAGAACAAACCCAAGTAAATTATATGCACGTGATTAATTACGAAATTTTTGTCTCATTAACAAAAGCTTATGTAAATCTGAATTAGGAATGTAAAGAGCATCCTTGAACTTGTTGATCCATTTCTTCAAGCTTAATTGCAAAAATCTTAAAAACCATACAACTACTCCCACTCCCGGAACTAAATCCGGCAGAAGAGAGAGAATGGAGAATGAGCCAAAACTCAAGACTTGGGAATGCACAGGCTTAAAAAATTGGGGAAAGTGCTCAAAGTCATTGGCAACCAAAGAAATAGAAATTAAAACTACTAGAATGGCTAACTTAAAAGGATTGAAAATATCAAACGTTGATGAGGATGCGAAGCAACCAGAACTCTCGTGCATTGCTAGTGGGAGTATAAAATGCTACAACTCTGGAAAGGTTAGCTTCTGATGCAGTCGAACATGTACCTACTGCATTTCTGCACCCAAGAGAAACGAAAATGTAGATCCACAAAGAGACTTGAACAAGAATATTCATAGCAGCTTTATTCATAACGGTCGAAAACAGAACACAACCCAAATTTCCACCCCCAGGAAAATGCATAAATGAACTGTGGTATATTTACAAGATGGAATACCACTCAGCAATAAATAGGAGCAAACTACTGATATATGGTGGATGAATTTCATAGACATTATGCTGAGCAAAAGAAGCCAGTCATAAAAGAGTAGATATCGTATGAATTTATTTATATGAAGTTCTACAAAAGACAAAACTGTCAATAATGGGAAAAAAAATCAGAAAAGTGGTTGGCTCTGGGAGGATGGACTAGTGGTGAAAGAATTTTCTGGGGTGATGGAAATGTTACGTGCTTTCATAGGAGTGTGTGTGTGTTACGTGGGTTCATTTGTCAAATTATATCAAATTGTACACTTACGATTTGTGCATTTCACTCTGTATAAATTTTGCCTTAAAAAATAACTGAAAACAAATGTTGAACTCTAGTAAGTGGGCTTGCTTTTCTCAGCGGTATGTGTTAGTAATTCTGAACTAATTTCAGCATATCCTAGGCTTGAGCAAATGAGTAAATACCCTAAATATCCTAAGGGAAAGGGGAGCCAGGTTTCTTACTCTCAGAGAAAAGAGTTACAAATATGGAAAAGGGGAAGATTCTAATGTTCTTTGAGGTTACGGATTGGAATTGCAGGTATCAGTATGAACTCACGCTTTTTGGTAGATAGATAGTTCAATAAATCTATTTCCTAGCTATGTCCACTGAGAACACCTAGAAGCAGTGACACCCCTATAAGCAGTAGCACATCCAGAACTTAGATCTTGGTTTCTAAATACCATTCTCCACTCAAATGAACGAGGGCTCCCTGGAGAAAAGTCTTAGATTCCAGGACGGGGGCATGGAAAGCACAAAATGAACCTGGAACATCTTGTTGCACCAGAATCTAGTGAGATTTTCCCCTTACTAATCAGCAGTTGGGAAACTTCAAAGGACCCAGGCTCAGACTGAAGGAACTTCCACTGGCCAAATCTGGGACAATTTGAGAATCAATGATAATAATGCATTATATTCCACTGAATAAAGAATCCATGAGAACACACTGTTATAAATACATACATACACAAGTAGGGGAAAAGATAAAGCTTTTCCTTAGGGAAAAATGTTAACTGGGGCTGGCCCCATGGCCGAGTGGTTAAGTTCGTGCGCTCCGCTGCAGGCGGCCCAGTGTTTCGTTGGTTCGAATCCTGGGCACGGACATGGCACTGCTCATCAAACCACGCTGAGGCAGCGTCCCACATGCCACAACTAGAAGGACCCACAACGAAGAATATACAACTATGTACCGGGGGGGATTTGGGGAAAAAAAAGGAAAAAAATAAAATCTTTAAAAAACAAAAACAAAAACAAACAACAACAAAAAAATGTTAACTAATAAATATAAAAGGAATGATGGAATTAGAAAATCACCAGTGGGTGCTAAAACAAGTTTGATGAGGGTGACAGTTTGATAAGGAACAGAATATTTACATGGTCTCAAAGTATTTCCCTACGAATTACTTATTACTTACAAAAGGGAAATAGACACCACCTGTTCCAGTTACTATGGCTACATAACAATTTACCCCCAAATTCAGCCCCATTAAACAGCCATGTATTATGCTAATGGCTTCTGGGGGTTAGGGATTTGGACAAGGAACGTCAGGGCTGGCTTGTCTCTGTTCCGTGATGTCTGGGGCTTCAGCTGGAAAACTTGAAGACCAAAAGCTGGAATCAGCTGAAGGCTCCCTTACTCACACAAGTGCAGCTGCTGTCTGTCACTGGGAGCCTCCGATCCTCTCCTCGTGGCTAGCTGGCTCCCTCACAGGATGGTGGCTGCCGGATTCACCACAATAAAGTTACCACTGCTCACTTTGTAATGAATAAGTACCTTATAGGGAGAGAGTTTGAGACTATATAAATACCCTTCCTCTCAATCATGCTTTTGCCCACTAATTTTAGCATCCACTGATGACTTTTTGCCTCCAACAGTTTTTATCGTGGTATCGTTTCAAACTGTTTTTTTAAAGGCCAGTTTACTTCACAGACATCTGCATTTCTTCAGAAGGCCCAAACTCCAAACAGAAATTCTTGGAAGCATAGAATCCATTCATTTGGCTCCCAAGCCCTCATCTTTGAAAATGGCCCTTTTTTTTAAATTGATAATCTTTGCTAATCTGATAGGTTAAAATAAGATATCTCCTCATACCTTTAATTGCATTTCTATTATTACAGACTGAAGTTGCGCATCTTTTCATGTTTGAATCATTTGTATTTCTTTTTTGGTAATTGTTCTTATCATTTGTCCATTTCATATTTATTTGCTGGAGTTCTTTTGTATACTAAGAATTAATTATGAAATAAAGAAAGGTATTAAGGAAGATAGCCCTTTATTAGTTATACAGGTTGCAAGCATTTTTCCCAGTTTTGTGTTTCTCTTTTTTTCTTTTAATTTTCTTCGAATATTCTTTTTTTATGCACAATTTTTTAATTATAGTAGAATTTACCGATTAGTGTGTGTGTGTGTGTGTGTGTGTGGTTTCTTAGAAGAGACTTCCCCATTCTGGTATTACTAGTTAAATAGCTCATATTTTTACATACTGCTTTAATGATTTTATTTTTTATGTTTATATATTTGATTCATCTGGAAGTAAATTTGCTGTAGGAAGTGAGTTAGAAATCCAACTTTTTTTTCACGTAACGATCTAGTTGTCTCAACATCATTAAAGGAATAATTTACTGTTTTCCTGTGGATGCACCTTTTATCACATATTCCATGCGTATTTGGTTCGACTTTCTAGTCTGTATCATTGCTCTGTCATGTGTTTTTACCATGTTGTTTGAATTATTGTGGATTTATCATGTTTTAATATCTGGTAGAATTAGTATCTCTTCGTGACTCTTTTTTCCCCCACAATTTTTCTTTCCAAGAATATGCTTGTTTTTCATGTGAACTTTAGATTCAGTTATATGCTTAAAAATTTGATTTTTATCAAGAAAGTAATATACTTCTGGATTAACTTAGGGAGACGACATCTTCATGACACTGAGTCTTCCCAAGTATGGAGGCTCAGACATACCAGCACTTTCCGTTGTTTAACACCTCCTTCTGTCTCCCTTTTTTGTGTGGCTTAAAGCAGTACCTTAAATGTGTTTTTCACATAAATCTATCTGTATGATTAAATTTATTTTGGGGGGGATTTTATTTGTTTTGTCCCTATTGTAAACGGATTCTCTTCTCCCATCATATCTTCTGATCGCGGCTTCTACAGAGTTAGATGTTTACAAATAGCTAAACAGTTCATCAGTTCTCTAAGCTCATATCACTTAATGGGAGGAAGAGGATTTTCTTTCTTTCTATATCAATCACCAACCCACAATGGTAGGAAATGAATCTAGGGCTGTATACCAAAAGCAGCTTCAGGCAGATCTCATTTTTTTTCTTGATAGAATGAAATAGAACATTCAGCACACTGGCTTTTGGACAGTATATATATATATGAATATATATATATATATTCAATAAGTAAATCCTTTTTTAAAAAAAAACTTCTTCAGCTCATCTTAACTATATCAGCCCCCATTAATACAAGTGAAGAAACTGAGAAAGAAGGAAAACTGAGGCGTAAAATACCAAAGAAGATTTTGCGATGTTTGTCTATGGTTATAACCACACATTCTCTCAGAGTGTGGGCTTTGCAGTCATCACACTGGCCTTAAAAGAAAAAAATTTTTAACTATGCATAATTCCCAGACTTTTCACAGGCTAATTCAGAGCTTGCAAACTCATATGCGACAAGGTGCCAGGCAGGCGACATAAATGAGCGAGGCAGACCCGGAGATGATAAAACAGAGAAAGAGGGGACTAGGGCAAACTGCCTACCTCTGCCCCAGTGAAGAGGCCACGGCCCCTCAGCACCCATCGGTAGCTTCCAGCGGGTAATTAAGACCAAGGGCGCTGAGTCTTCCAATTTTTTAAAAGAAGCCAGAAATCCAGATTTAACATATAAAAGTTCCCAATTTTTAAATACTGGATCAAATTTTAAAAACATAAAAATATCGTGCAGGTCAGGTGTAACCCAGGCCCTCAGGCCAACCGGTGTTAGGACCTACTACTCTAACCCTTATTCCAGGACCTCCACGTGGAGTGGGAGACCCCAGCAGCAAAAACCATTCTGCGCCGCTCACAAGCCGTGTAGACCCCGCCTAGGCCGGCTCCGGACTCTACACAGAGCGTTACCACCCTGGTTTGATGAGATGATAAATAGCCTGCTTTGCCCCAAAGATAGAAGTGGAAAATTAACTTCTCAATTTTCACATTCTTTATTTATGGCGATGACGAGCTCCAGGAAACCACCGATTTCACAATGGCCTCCTCCCAGTGAAGCAGCCATTCGGCGTGTTATGCCGAGCAGACTGCACGTGGGCCACTGCGTGGGCTTCCACCAGGATGGCCGCCGAGGTCCGGGTTCCAGACTCCAGAGGAGGGGCGGAGCGCGCCCTCCACACTCAGCATGCATGGATTGTTCCACAATCGTCACACTTGTGAGCTAACCCCCCAAAGCCAGCTTGCTTATTAAAATTAACTAGACGGTTTCTCTTCCGGGCAGCATCTTTTCTAAAGAGATATATTCATCCACAACATTGATAGAGTGATTTGCAATTTTCGGAGTGTCTCCTTGTCCTCTTCTTATCCAATCTTAAAACAACCCCATGAGGGCGGTGTTATGACAACCCACATTTTACAGGTGAGAAAGCTGAGATCAGAGAGGTTCTATGGCTTGCCCGAGCTCCAAAACATCAGTACTTATGTTCAGGCAGCTTAAAAAGTCTTTTGCGGAGTCAGCCTGGTGGCGTAGTGGTTAAGTTTGCCCACTCCACTTCTCCGACCCAGGGTTCCTAGGTTCGGATTCTGGGGGCAGACCTACCCCACTCGTCAAGCCACGCTGTGGCGGTGTCCCGGGTAAAATAGAGGAAGATTGGCAACAGATATTAGCTCAGGGCCAATCTTCCTCGCCAAAGAAAGAAAAAGTCTTTTTTTGTCCATCTTCAAATGGTTGATCAAGTAACCCATACAGCAAAGCTTTGCCCGTTTTGTGTGAAGATCTACGTAGGAAGAAAGAGACTGCACAGTTTTTTTCAAACCTCAGGAAAAGGCAGAAATAAACTCCACAAAATCATAGGACAGAAGCTGAGACAGACAGACAGAACTCTGAAAGAGAGCCTGCTAGAACCCCTTGAAATAGGAGTTCTTAAGGAAAAGTCAGGTTAGAATAGTGCCTGATTAGAAGTCATTAGATGTGTCTGTATATTATTCTGAATGGGTTTTCCACCCTTTATACATATCGTTGGTAAATTTTCCACTGTTTTATATAATGAAGTTTTGCATTGTTTTTTCACAAGGAGGACTCTGTTTTTATAGAGCTGGACTATCACGTGGGGCTAATTTTGTAGTCTCTCAAAAAGCAGGCGCTCTGCAGGGAGGCAAGTGAGTCGCTTCCGCCACCTAGTGGACATTTCTAAATGGAAAACAGACGGTTAGGAGTGGGCGCTGGGAGCCCCCCCACACCCCTCCCCCACCCAACCCTCCCCCTCCACCCAACCCTTCCCCCCTACGCCGCCACACCTCACCAATGACACAGGTGTGACAGCCACTGAGCGGCCAGAGCAGTCTCGGCAGGCCTTGCCGACTCACAATTAAGTGTCATTTCTGATTAGAAGCGCATCACGTTTAAAAGATCTTGAAAAGTTCCTTGTAGTATTTGAAGCGAAGCATCACGAGTTGAACAGGAGTACTCGCCTGATCTGTGCGTCAGGCTCCTCTCTGCTCTCCCATATTAGTTTCACATTTTCTCCCAACCACAGTGCCACTTTACTGACAAATATTCATACCCAGTATAAGGACCATTTGAGCTGACCATACTCTACATCCAAACCTGACTGACTTGATTCTTCCGGTCTTCAAACTCTGCCTTTACCTGTGACACATTGTGCTCTTTATTCTCAAGCTGCTACAGCCTGTCATCCAAGTCGTGTCATTTCTGCTTTCAAAATAGCTTTTAAGTTAACCCTCCCCACCCCATCCCTGCCACCACATCCCAAACCTGGCCTTTATCCCCAAATTCTGGATTTGTTCATTTGTTCAACTCATTTTGATGGGGCACTGACTGCTGGTAGCTGCAGCTCAGCACTGGGCGTGGGGTAGAGAGACGAGGGCGGGGCCACCTGTGGGCCCAGGAGAGGGCATATTTACAGAAGGTTTCAGGTGAAACAGGGCAGCACGGGTGAAGAAGGATGAGTGGCTTCCTTGCTGGGCCTCCTGACATGACCTCTTTCCAGGTCAACCCCCCATGCCTCTTCTGCAGCCTGACTTCTCTCCTACATTCCTGACTCAAAAGCTTTCAAAGTTCCCTCCTTCATCCATCCAGCTCATCCATAGAGTCTGTATTGCCCTGTGCTCAGAGATACAGACGGGGTGAGATCCAGTCCCGAGCCTTAAGGAGCTCAGCAGAAGGAAGACAGACCAGCAGACCCCCAAAGAGCTGCAGGGACAGCAGGTGCTCTGGGGGCCCAGAGATGGCATGAGCAATTCTGCTGGGTATTGGGGAAAGCTGGCCAGGAGAGGTTTCCAAGAGAAGGTAACATTCACAGTGGACCCTGAAAGATGAGTGAAAGTTTATCAGCTGGAGGTGGGGCAAGGGGAGGCAGAGAGCATCCAGGCAGAGGGAGCTGCAGGTGGAAAGACACAGAAGAATGGAAGAGTATAGGGGTCAGGGACAATGGTCCTTCTGCATGGCAGGAGAGGGGGTGCATGGCTGGTGTGACAATGAGCCAGATTCTGACCGCATCACTGGATGTGATGGCCATATGTTCACCCCACCATGTGGATTTATCATCCCTGAGGTTTCCTAAGGCAATAAGAACTAATAATAAGGTTTCAAATGAATGAAATTCCATGCGGCCATTTCTGACTCTCATTTCACATGCCGCTGCACTGATATGGCTGGCATTGTGTGGGGCCCAGGAGTCACTGTGAATCAGCTCATAGTCACAAGTCAGTGTGGACCTAACTGGTGTCATTTGTAAGACTGAGGCACCGATTGCCCTGGCTGCAGGAGGGTTGGCATGTGATGGCTCAGATGAGTTTTCCTCTAGGACTTGCTCTCAGTTGAAGAGAGGAGCTGTCTCATCCAAAATCTTGACCGCTTCCCAAAGGTAACCCACATCCAATGATGGACTCACGGCACGAAGCCTGGGCCCTTTACCTTGACACAAAACAACTCTAAGGGACTGTTCCAGCTCCAGGGCCTCCGATGGGACTGGATGAGACCTTTGTCACATCCGCATCACAGTTCAACTCGCTTTTCCCAAACCTGCTTCCTTCATTCCACCACAGGTGTTGATCCCAAGAGTTCTCCCCAATAAAGCTCCCTGCACACAAATCTCTGTCTCCGAGTCTGCTTTCCAGAGAAGCTGATCTGCAACAGCTAGCTTAGGAAGCCTGGTTCCCATTCAAACAAGACCCAATGGCATTAACATAGCTTAAGAAAGACCATGTCAATCAGGAGGAAGTTGGTCAGTCATGGAAGCCCCATAGAGGTCGTCACTGGCAGAGCTCTCCCAAGCACTGTGCTGGGAGAAGGAGCCTTGTCAGGGTCTCACAAGCTCTGTTCTATCTGGCAGGATTCTTCCCTCCTGGTTATAGGGCTGTTGGAATCTGGTGCCATTAAACGAAACCCACATGCTGTAACTAACTCCTCTTTCCCCTTGCTCATGCTCATCAGGAGACGTTTTGATTTTCGTCTGCCTTTCTGTGAACCTCGTCTGCAGAGAGAGAGTGCCTGAACGTGCAGTCCATCTGGCAGTCATAATTTCTTACTTTCGATCAGCACATGGACATTCAGGCTTGGAGTTGGTCTCTTGCAAACTCTGTCAGCCTGAGTGGACTGATCAGGGCTGAGACAGCGAGGAGAGCATATGTCCGAGCCCACAAGGCAGAGTCCAAAACTTGGATGATGGCCCATTCACCATGGCAATTCCCTTCTGGGGGGTCTCTTGGTGGACGGACAGTCCACTGCTTCTTGTGATATTTCAGCCTTGACTTTCAAACGTCTGCAGACTTAACTCAGGAAACCAAGAAACAGTTCTTCTTCCCCCAGTGTAGCCCCCTCTCAGTCCAAACTCTCTGAGAAAAGACCTCTTTTCCCCCAGAGGTCAGGGGAGGTGACCGTTTGGGAGGCTGGAAGAGCTTTTTCATAAGCCAAGAAAACTAAAGGAGTTGACAGCACCCCCTGGAGCGAACCACATCTGAGGCCCTACCGGTAAGGAGACACTGTCAATACACTTAAAAGCAAGAATTTCCACGAATAATCCCCTCGGAATAAAGGAGATGGTTTTGCTAGTAACTGCTCTCTGGCTCCACTTTCAAACCTCAACAGTAGAATGATTGATATTGTAAGTAAAGAACCAATCAGAATCGTGTCTGCCCAGCCTGCTTGGAGCCACTGGGGGCATCAACTCAGCTTCCAGTACCTGAGAGCAGGAGACCGGGCTGTGACCTTCCAGATCCCGTCTTTGAAAAATGGAATTCTACATAGACGTTTCCTGTCTCTCACAATCTAGGTGTTTCTTGCCCGGGAGCGGGGGCGAGGGTGGGGGGGCAGAGTACTCTCCAAGTCTCTGTTTTTGCAAATTGACTTCAAAATGGAATTTAGGAACTTCCTCTCCTCTCGACACCACCTTTATCTCCTCCCTAATCCTTCTCCTCAAGCCCTGCGGTGTGTCCCCACTCCCCTTCTGAAGTGTATGTCCCCACAGGTCTGCTGGAGGAGAATATGTGGCCTCTGGTCACTTGGTCAGTTGAGGTGATTTCCTCCAGGACAAGTCTATGTGTCAGCCGGACCTGGCGACATTATTTTAGAGGTGTTGACGAGGCCTGTCTCTGAGTGGCAGTGCTGGGGGAGAGCACCAACCATCTCCCCAAGCCCCTCTCTTGCTGCTTAAGAAAAGGAGGCTCAGGAAAGTGACGTGAGGAGAGCCCAGGTCTGACTCCCAGACCAGCGCCCCTTCGCTGGGCTGCTTTCACTTGTGCACAAGTCAACTACGTATTTAGTCAACCACTGAGTCAACGATCATTCGCTAAGCCCCTAGCACGGGTCAGCACAGAGCTGGGTTCACTAAAAGGAGCTGGAACAAGCGTTGGTGCCAGGTGGGGTGGAGCCATAGACAGGCAGAGGCAGGAGGACATGATGGCGGGCCCTGGAGAAGCACCCAGTGTCTGCAGGAGGCCTTAGCTCCAGAGCGACAGAAGAGGACTGGGAAAGACCCATTGAAGGGTCCAGGGGCAAACGTCCCCACCTCATGACTTGGCCGAGGGCTGGCATTCCCTCAGCCTGCAGTCCGTAAGAGCAGAGGACTACACAATGTGCAGGACCCAGCGCGTAATTGGAATGTGAGGCTCTTTGCTCAAAAAATATTATGAATTTCAAGAGAGTGACAGCAGAGCATTAAACCAAGCCTTGGCCCCTTCTAAGTACAGGACTCCATGTGAATGCACAGGTCACACGCCCACAAAGCTGGCCTGCTGCTCCTCAAATTGACCATTTCTTCCACAAAGGCAAGGAACACTAGACCCCACTACCTAGTCCAGAGCCCACCTGAGCAAATAAGGAGGCCGAGGTCCAGAGAGATGAAATGGCTTGTCCACGCTCTCACGGCTGATCGGTGGCAGCAAGTCTCCTTGGAAAAGAGCTATGCCCTGCTCTTTCCAATCAGAATTACATCATATAGATTTGTCTGCTGTCTACTCGTTTGCCTCCTGCTGTAAGGCTGCCTATGTATAAAATAAAAGGAAGAAAATATGCCTTCTTTAAACAGAAAATAAGGCCAAAAAAACCCTGAAGGCAGAACCTTTTATCGCCGCCAGACGCTCCAGCCACCACTGCTGGTTCCTCTTTCTGGGGAAGCGGCCCGGGTCTAGGCAGGAAGCTGCTCCTGTGTCCAGCTGCTCTTGCATGGCCCACAGCACTCCAGGGTGTGAATGGCATCTTTCTAGGGTCTCCTGACTATCTTCGATGAGGGCAACGAGGTGCAGAGCCACAAATCATGTCATGTCACTGCTGGTGGGACCTTGGAGATGAGAAGAGCAACATTCCCATTTTACAGACAAGACTCAGGGAAGGGATGTGTGGAGTTGGGAGAAAAACCAAGGTCTCTTGGTAGAGACCTCCCCTAGGCCAGTCTCGGCTCAGAAACTGTACATAACCCTGTTCCTGGCAGTACTTCCTTCTCCACAACACTGGGAGGCAGGCAGAGAAGAAAGACCAGAAGGTATGATGGAAGGCGCTTCTGAGCCACACAGACCTGGCCAGATCTGCCGCTTCCCAGTTATGCAAATTTTGCTGTGTCATGAAACTCTCTCAGCCTCAGTTTCCCCATCTAAAAACTGCAGATCGGAATGTCTACCTGCAGGGTGGGATTCAAAGAGATGAGATGCCCAGGAGAGCCCTGCCATTATAGCAGGAGCTCAACAATCGTGTCCTGCCCCGCCCCCTTCTTCCTCTGCATCTGGACTTCCAGCTGGGACAACACTCAGATGTGGATGCCTCTCACATGTGGGGTTAGGTCAAGCACCCAAGCATCTAGTTGTGTCTCCCGATATAAACAGAACTGAGGAGCTTTCTGAGAAAAGACTGCAACCATGCACACAATTGGGGTTTCGACTCATAGGGCAATCTGGGGGTCAGTGGGAAGGGAAGGGGAAAAGCAGAGGGATCCTCATTTTGGAACAGCAGGGGCCTGGGGTCACATCAGACACCCCCAGAATGCCCAGAAATCCTTGAGGGAAGAAGGAACCTTGAAATAGTGGTTAAGACCCTGTAGGCTAGCAGGGGGAGGCTAATAAGGTAGTAAAATCAAGGAGTTCCCATTGATGGGGTCTCACAGGTCTCAGGCTATTAAGGCCGGCAACTGCCCCTCATGCATGCTGCCATGAGGAAGCCTGTAGAGGACCTTAAGAGTGGGAGACTCAAAGGAGGGGCAGCTGACCATCACTGTCACCAAAGAGGCTCCCTCCTGGCTTCTGAGACCTGGCAGGCTCCCTTGAGTATGGCCAACGTCTGCCCATGCCTGCCCCCTCATCTGCTCGCTGCGCCTTCCAATGACAAGGCATGCTGGTGAGTGGTTCCTCATACAGACGCTCCCCTTCCAAGTCAGCCAGCATCCCTCACAGAGCAGCTCCAACCAGCTGCTTCCCAGGTGCGTTTCCTTAGAACCCCACTCTCCTGCCCCTCACCCAGCTATTCCCAGCCCCGCTTCAGCCTCCCACTTTGTCCAGACACAAGGATGACATTTTCCCATACTCAAGACAAAGGGCATTGTGATCTGAGGGAATATAAACTCCACACAGATCCCTAATGGTGGGCATTTATGACCTTGTTGACCCTTTAGGAGACGGGGGAATGTTCCCTCTTCAGTGGTCGCTGGAATCTCGGGAGGTCTGAATTCAGCATGGATCAGACCGGCAGAGAAGTTCAGAGCAGGATGTGAAGTCAGACAGACCTGCCTTTGCATTCTTGTTCTGCCACTTACCCAGTCTCTTAGGCAGGTTACTACACCTCTCTAAGCCTCAGTTTCCTCATCTATAAAATGGCTAGAATAACAGTCCCTCTATGGAGGAGAAAATGAGAGGATGGGAGTAGAAAGCCCAGCACCGTGCCTGGTATGCAGGGCACCCTCGGTTGACATGCGTAGTGGTGGCTGCTGCTCTGGATAATCCCCAGCATCCTCGTCCAGTCCCTCATTGCAACTGACCCGGAAGACTGTAGTGCTTCTTCGCTTGACTCCCTCCAATCTTGGTTACCTTCTTAAGCTTGATTGACTCACATCCCTTCAGAAACCCTCAGTGTCTCCCCACTGCCCACGGGAAACATCCACACTTCTTAGCATGCTATTCAAGCCCTGTGTGCACAACGTGGCCCCACTCCCTTTCCAGCTCCTCTCTCCCTGCTCTCCCCTCCATGTGCATTTCATCCCCTCCCACCCTCGCTCCTGCTAACACCCCACCTAAAAGCCCCTTTGTACCCAGAGCCATCCTCTCCTCTCTCAGTGCCTCCCCGGAGCTCCTCCTGCCCCATCCACGGGAACCTCTCACGCTCTGTGGCCCTTCAGCTCTAGCCTGGATCTCTCTCCCATAACAGGCTTCTCACTGGGGCTGTGACACAGGCCTGTGTCCCTCTTGTGAGCCTCTTGGAGTGAGGGATGTGGAGCTGGTCATCTCTGTACACTCTTCAGTGCCTGATACAGTGTTGGGTGCGTGTTGTAGGATCAATGAAATGGAATTATTAAGTAATTGTCTAATTGTTCCGTTTATGTTCAAGTCCCTGCCCTCTACATTTCAGTCCCAGCATCTTAGAAAAACAGAAAAAGAGGGAGAGAGGCCCAGATGCATACATTCCTGTGCCTAGACCAGCATTTGGGGGGTAACCAGAAGCCGGCAGGACCCCTTCCCCACACTGCACCACCCTCACCAACCAGCATGTGCATGCTGCAGAGCCTTCACTGGTTTCTGCGCATTTCACTATCTTTGCGGTTTTTCTGGTGGCTTATGGGGTCCCAGGGAATGGCCACACCACACAGCTCACAGTGCTTCCCTGGGAAATCCGGCCCTTGCAGACCCACCACCTGCAGCTCTTCCCGTCCTTATCCTGCCCAGCGCCAGCCCACGGGACCCCTTCACTTCCTCCTCCTTTCCCCAGGCACTTGGAGCTTCCCACAGCTTCCTTGTCCTAAGCAGCCCCTCCTTCCCAGAAGCCCCTGCCCCTGAACCTGTGTATCCAAACCTTCACTCTCTCCGCAGCACCAAGGACTGATCGCAGATGCACCCATCGGAGTCCTAGCTGTGGATGGAGGAACGCTTAAAACTGCGCACAGCAAGCATGAGCACTGAGTTCTGGAGGGTGAGCACTTCTGGGGAGAGAGGAAGCGGGTGGTGGGGTTTTGACTCAGCCATACAGTTTCATTTCTCTAAAGCGAGAGGCAGGGGATTCTGAAGCCAGTGTGGCACATAGGAACGGGGACCATGGTAGGCTACAATGTTATGTGTAGTGTGTGTATTTCATGACCTAGAATTTTTTCAAAAGAACCAAAGCACTTGAGGATATGAGTAGAACATACTTCAGGAACATAAGCCAGTAGCAGGACTCCCCTGAGCCCTCTGCTCATTCTTAGGGGTGGGGATCCTTCTGGCCTCAGCCTGCTCCCCAAATCAGCCCTCCAGGGGACCTCCCCAAGTGCTCTTCCCTGGCCCACCCTGGGCCGCCTGCTCCTGTTCTCCTGCAGGCTGCGTCTCATGCATTCCTTGCCTCCTGGAGCCTGGACGTCTCTCCTCCCAAGACCACGCTTAGCCCAACCAGCCCCCAACTTCTTCCCCAATCCTGCACCCCCGCCCCTTCTTCAAAGTGGCCCTCAGGTAGCTTAGTGCTGCCAGGCCACAGGGCCCATAGTGAAAATAACTAACAGGGGAACACCCAGAGGAGGCACAAACATTCCTCCAAATCCCCTAGGAAGGACCACCCCTGAGGCTCCCTGGAATACAGTGTGGGCCACTGGCACTCTGCCACGGCAATTTCACTATGCCTCTGGTTTCCGGGTTCTGCCTTGCGGCCTTTTAATTCCTCTGCTGGTACCTGGGAAATTGGGACCACAGGGACAAGGAGGAAGGGGAGGAGGAGCCATGGTGGGCTCCAGCTGCATGAAGGCCAGTTGGTCTCACTTCCCATGGGGACCCCCTGGACCTAGCTCTCTGCCCCGTGATGAAGGAAGCCCCTTGAGAGCAGGACCTAAACCGGGGGTGCTGCTTCCACTTTCTCCTCTGGGCCATGCTCTCCCAGATGCCCCTCTTCCTCCTGATTCCTCTCCCTCATTTTATGAATTAAGACGCTAATCCTTTTCCATTTTGCTGGCACCAAAATGAACTGGTCACATAATAGCAGAAAGGACCTTTTTTTTTTTAATAATTTTTAGAACTTCTTAATGAAGAATAATTGACATAGATAAAAGTATATAAATGACATGTGTTCAGCTGAACGAAGTTTTACAAAGTGAACACATCTGTGAAATAAGCTAACAGGTCAAGAAACAGCATGAGCAGACCCAGGAGCCCTGCCGGCGCCAGGGTGAGCACCGTCCTGACTTCTGACAGCACAGATGACTGGCGCCTGTTTCCTACTCTCCTGAAGTGGAATCACATGAATGAACTCTTGCGTCTGGCTTCTTTTGCTCAACATTATGCTTAGGAGTTCATCCACACCATTTCTTGCTGCCAGGGTCCTTTGTTGTCACTGTTGTATCATATTCCACTGTGAAACTCGGGTACGTGTTATTTGCCCACCCTCCTGCAGATGGGCATTTGGGTAGTTTCATTTTGGGTTGTTATGAATAGTGCAATTCTGCAAAGAGGGCTTCTTTAGTTATTACTGTGGTAAAAAGCATAACATAAATTTACCCCCTTAATTTTTGACTGTATAGTATAGTATTGTTAACTGTATGCGCATTGTTGAGCAATAGATCTCTAGAACTTTTTCATCTTGCGTGACTGAAACTCTAAACCCACTGAACAGCAACCCCTCATTCCCCCGCCCAGCCCCTGGCAACCACCATTCTACCTTCTAAGTGTTTGGCTGCTTTAGACACCTCACATCAGTGGAATCAGGCAGTATTTGTTCTTCTGTGACCAGCTTATTTCACTTGGTGTAATGTCCTCCAGATCCATCCACGTTGTAGCAGATGGCAGGATTTTCTTCTTCAGGCTGAATAATATTTCCTTGTGTATATTTATGTACCGCATCTGTTGATGGACGTTTAGGTTGCTTCCACATCCTGGCTGTTGTGAATAACGCTGCAATGGGCGCGTGAGGACAAATCTCTCTGAGATTCTGTTTTCAATTCTTTTGGATATTTACACAGAAGTGGGATTGCTGGACCATATGACAATTCTATTTTTAGTTTTGTGAGGAAATTTCATACTGTTTTCCATAGTAGCTGCACCATTTTACACTCCCACCAACAGTGCACAAGAGTTCCAATTTCTCCACATCCTCCCTAACACTTATTTTCTTCTTCTTTTTTTCATAGTGGCATCATGACAGGTATGAGGTAATATCTCACTGTCGTTTTGATTTGCATTTCCCTGATGATTAGTGATGTTGAACATCTTTTCATATGCTTGTTGGCCATTTGTATATCTTCTTTGAAGAAATGTCTATTCAGGTCCTTTGTGCATTTTTTTGTTTGTTTTGTTGTTGTTGCCGTTGTTATTAAGTTGGAGAAGTTCCTTATATGTTTTGGATATTAACCTCTTATTTGCTATATGGTTTGCAAATATTTTCTCCCATCCATAGGTTGCCTTTTCACTCTGTTGATTGTATCCTTTGCTGTGCAGAAGTTTTCAAGGTTGATGTGGTCCCATTTGTCTACTTTTGGTCTTGTTACTTGTGCTTTTGGTGTCATATCCAAGAAATCATTACCCATTCCAATATGATAAAGCTTTCCCCCATGTTTTCTTGCAGAGTTTTACAGTTTCAGGTTTTATATTTAGGTCTTTAATCCACTTTGGGTTAATTTTTGTGTATGGTGTAAAATAAGAGGCCATCTTCGCTCTTCTGTATGTGGATATCCAGTTTCCCCAAAACCATTTGTTGAAGAGACTGTCCTTTCCCCATTGTGTATTCTTGGCATCCTTGTCAAATGTCATTTGACCATATCTGTGAGGGTTTGTTTCGGAGTTCTCTATTCTGTTCCATGGGCCTGTATGTCTGTCTTTCTGCCAGTATCATCCTGCTTTTGATTACTGCAGCTTTGTAGCATGTTTTAGAATCAGGAAGTTTTGTTCTTATTTCTTGAGATTGATTTTTTTGGCTATTCAGGGTCCTTTGAGACTCCATATGAAATTTAGGATTGTTTTTTCTCTTTCTACAAAAAATACCATTGTGATTTTGATAGGAATTACACTGAATCTGCAGATTGCTTTGGGTAAGTATGCACATTTTAATGCTATTGAGTCTTCCAACCCACGAACACAGGATGTCTTTCCATTTATTTGTCTTCTTTTAGTTAATTTCTTGTCCTGTTTAATTTCTTTCAGCGATGTTTTGTAGTTTTCAGTATATAGTCTTTCACCTCCCTGGTTAAGTGTGATCCTAAGTATTTTATTCTTTCTGATGTAAATGAAAATGTTTTCTTAATTTCTTTTTTGAATCATTCATTGTTGATGTATAGAAATGCAACTGATTTGTGAGTGTCGATTTTGTATTCTGCAACTTTGTTGAATTCATTAATTGGTTCTAACAGTTTTTTTGCATAGAATCTTTAGGATTTTCAACATATAAGTTCATGTCTTCTGTGAACAGAGATCATTGTACTTCTTCCTTTCCAGTTTGGGTGCACTGTATTTCTTTTTCTTGTCTAATTGCTCTGGGCAGGATTAGGGCAGGCATTTCAAGGTCTCTGCCTGTGTCCCTACAAAGCCATCTTCCCCCCTTCCCCAAATTCCCAGTGTGCTAAACTTACTCTTTGGGGTTAATTGGATTGCCCAAGGTCACAGCTAGTATTTGGTTAAGGCAGGAATTAAACTGAGACCTATCTGACCACAGAACTCATGGGCTCTTCCTGGTTTCTCTCTTGAGCTAAGAAATCTGTCATTATTAAAATGACAATATTAAATTGAACAGGTAAGATCCATTAACACCCCTACATAGATTTCTTTAGAAAAAGGAGCTCCAGGATTGGGTCAGTATTGACGTAATTGGGGGAACAGAGAGACAACTGGAATTTGAGCCTCCGGGGCAGGGGGCAAAGAAAAGGCAGTAGACATCCCTAGGTCAGGGGTAGAGGAAAGGGGAGGCTGTGTAAACTCTGATTGAGTGACTCTCTCTTTCCCAAATTCCTGTCCATGGGATATCACCGTATGATTTTTGTTATATTCTATTACCATCTGCACCATTATTGACTCTGTTTTTCTAAAAATAAATATATTTTCAAAGGAAACGTTATATCTCCCCTCTAAATTCCTACCAGAATCATTTGCCATAAATAGAATGTAACTGTAGAAAATAAATACAATGAAAACAATATCATGTTGCTAAATTCTAATGAAATGGTTGTCTGCCAAAGGATGCCAGCCTGGGGCCTATTTTTTCTGTTAAAGAGAGAGATGAGCATGAGTTGAGAAAGTGTGGAAAAGATTACCACCACGCTAAATTTCCCCTTGATATAATTAGAAAGGCTAGGAAACAATTAAAAAGGGAATAGTTTTCTCATCCTTTGATTCAAAGTTATTTTATGTTAGGTTGGGGTACCACCCAAAGTTACCCACCACACTCCTAGTGGAACATGTCCTTAAGTGAAGAAATTCTAAGGTAGAGCATCAGGTTTTGTCTTGTTTGTGTGAAAAGAACCCAAAGCTCCACCCCAGAGAAGCCGTGAGAAATGGGAGTTGAGGCTGAGAAGGGAATCCGGAGCATTTCTAGGGAGGCACCAGCATGAGGGCGACTAGGGGTGGCAGGGAGTGGAGCCTGAGGAACGCAAACATCTCCCGTCCCTGTGATGAACTTTCCTAGGAGGATCTGTGGGGAGAGCCAGAGCCATTTAAAGGTCAGACATGAGAAAGGGAGCTGGCAGGTTCTGGTAAGAATTCTTGGCTTCTGTTCTCTCTTCCCTTTTCTCTCTTCTTCCTTCCTCTTCCTCCCTCTCTCTCTCTCTCTCCATTCTCTTCACCTCTGGTTATAGCCTACCTATTAATGTGCATGAAGTAGTTAAATAGGAAGCACTTGAACAACTACAGCCAAAGAAGTGGTTAATGGTTGACCTTGGGAAAAACAGGACCTAGAAGCCAGAAATAGACTGAAATCTTGACTCCCTAAAATGAAAAGCTTCTTTCTGTATAGCCAAA